CAGTTAGTTACACGAATTCAGTTATGGGATGAAATCGGATAGGGATGAACGGGTTTAAGAGTTTTAAGAGTTTAAGAGTTTTTAAGAGTTTTAAGAGTTTAAGAGTTTTTAAGAGTTTTAGCCAAATGCATTATAATATAGTATAGATTAAGAGTTTTTAAGAGTTTTAGCCAAATGCATTATAATATAGTATAGATAATGTTTCTCATATTATAAAAAACATTAATTTTATTTTATTTATTGTAAATTAATAATAAAAGCATTAACGTGCACTTAAAAACTGATTTTTATACTCAGATGTTTATGTCAATAGTCGACCAAAATATTATACCAAGGGATACACAGCAATATCGTCGGATGGATCATCTTAAATAAAGAAAATAAGGATTTTATGGGTAACGGTGGGTATTCAAGAGAGCTTACACTCGTCGGCTCATCTTTCGAGAGATTAATAATGGCTCAGAGTCATCGCATATGAATCTCCATGGCTGCAGTGACTTTGATAACTTCTGGATTCAAACCAAGTCAATATGAGCTTACGACTACATCCCCTCGTTAACGAGTGTGCCACAACTCAACCGGTAATCTTCGAGCAACTACGATACAAAACAGTTGGACATGTTTAATAACGTCAGTGTATTTATAATAAACTACAAGATATAAACGTATACACGTAATAGGCTTATAAACACATTAGTTTCTTGTCGAATTATTTAGATTGTTTTTAACAAATTATTTTCGAGACTTGTAATTTAAATACAGTTGTTGTCAGGCATGTTCGATCTTTCGATGACTTCATATTTTCTAGAAGATGTCGAAATGGTATTATGATTAACAACCCCTTCGTCATTTATTAATTACGTGTACTTTTAACCTCTTGAGTCCAAACTCAAACCAATCGAGCACCATCCTTGTGGTTGTGGTTAGTCTTTTTAGATCAGATAAATTATGAAACTTACAAAACCAAAATAAAAAACGCAACAAACTTTTATATTTTAAGTGATACTATGGTATGCATCTCGATCTAAAGCCGTGAACATAAATGTCGATCATGTTTTGTTTTTTGTCTCTTTTTTGTCCATCCCGATGCTAGTTGTATGTATACCAGTACAATGTAGTCGGGTGTAAGCGGTGAATATAATACTTAGTAAAATAGGTTTTACCAAATAAAATATGTATGTTGATGAATTTCACATTTTATGTAGACCGTTTCAACGATATTCTCAAATCTAAAAAGGTGTTTCCCAATAAAGCATAATGATATTTACGGTAATCCTTAAATGCATGCTTTTGATCTTAAACATGCAAATAATTTTTTTATAAAATGGGGAATCAACTCGTAAAAATAATGTTTTTCCATAAAAAAAAAACTACTTATATAGCTCTTTTAAAGAAAATGAAAACAAAACAACAGTTGTAAAATAGTTAAAAAAAAAAAAACAAGTTTACAATAGATATGTATGTATATGTAAGAACATGAAGCTCTTGGACCAAGCCTCTTCAGACGAGTCGATTACTGGTCCCTTCACCAACCAACCAGCTAATCTAGGCTCTTGGCTTTAGGTCAAAATAATCGATTTTTTGAGCAGGTGATTGCTCCACATTAGCTGCCAAAATGCTTTTTACCAGTTGTTTTTTTAACAAGTCAAGATCAATACCAGCTGTTTTTTCAAGCAAGACTTTTACCATAGACGTTGATCTTTATAAGCATAAATTTGAATACATATGCAATATTTAGGTATAACATTCGGACCTTACAATAAGGTCTAGTGATCTAACATTTTTAAAAACTAAGAGGCTGATAACAGGTTAGCATACAACTGGAATATATTGGGTTGGTTTATTTGTTTTGGTTTTAATAATATCCAAAATAACAATCATAAACTTTTGCATGCTCAAAATGTGTGTAATGATTTCTATGACAATAAAGGTTAAATAATCGAAACCATCCACAAAGTCTAAATGATGCAACACCATGCATCTCATTGAACTTATGTTTTCAAATATTACAGAGGCACACCTTCGTAGGGCTAGATGTGATTCATGTTCTAAAGACAACTCCTATACACGAAGGTCTCATAATGAACAATAAGAAAGCCACGTGTGACCCAGGTTCCACCTTTTTTTTATCACACACTCTTGTCGAAAGTCGAAGGTCTTCGTCCGACACCCACTAGACTCCATCCCCTGAGTGGAATATCCAAGGATAGTTTGATTTGGTTCGATGACCCCTGAACCATATGGCTCAAATCACAATGGTCATCTTAAACAAATACCAACTTTTGTTAATCCAAAAAACACGAAAATCAAAATTAACGATGTTCGTGGTGACTTGTACCTATATAGACATAATTTGTACATTTATTTGGATTTGTCAACTTATGTCTGATGAAAGGACTTTTATAACATACAACCGTTTAAGACCTTTTATAACATGGTATAAATTCATACGTATTTATGTTATTTTACAATATTATTAAATTAAAAAATATTTAACAATGAACTTATTTTGAAAGCATTGACGAGATAATTGTAATGGTATAATCTGTAACAAAAAAAAAAAAAAAACGCATTCTTTAATTTGTTTTAGTTAATCTATAATTATGAATTTTTAACATGATAAATGTGTAAACTGAAAATGAAAACACAAGAAATATGATTAAATTAAAAAATATGCAATATTGGATTTATTTTGAAATATTGACAAGATGATTACAATGATATAATTTATAAAAAATAAATGTAATTTTAATGCATTTTAGTTCATATACAATTATTTATATTAATATGATACAAGTGTATAAAACGAAAATTAAAAAAGTAAATGATTTAAAGTAAATTAAATAATTAATCAAACGTAACTTAGAAATTAAGAATTATTGGATCGGAAGACGGGAGAGTTTGTACAAGCTTTAAAGTTCATATATTTAGCAATACTAGAAGAGTACTCGTGTAATGCAGCGAGATACATCTCGATTTTTAATGTTCTATTTTATTATTTGTCTCTGTCGATGTTATAATACGATTTTATATGTTTTTTAAAAAACAATAATGATTTTATTTTTGAATAAAATATAAGTTTGAAGATATCGTAAAAAATTGAAAAAAAATATCAATGTTAATATCAAATCAATTATTTAAAAATTCTCATTATTTATGTAATTTTTTTAACATATTTTTTTATTATAATTTAATTTAAGTTTAATAACGAAATAATTTATTTTTAGTTTAATAATATAATATTTTATAAAAATAATAATTAAGTATTCTGTTAGAACTCAATGATTATCCTAATTATATTTTAGATTTTATATATTTAAAATAAGATGTTTATCATGTATTTGATTATGTTTATCTGTAGTTAGTTACACGAATTCAGATATGAAGCTTTAATAAGTTATACCTACGCACAATCTACTTGTAATATTGAGTCTTAAGTAATATACATTAATAAACAGTATTTTATATATAAAAAATAGTTTTTAAAAATTTCTATCAAATACTTTATAACATAGTATAGATAACTTACATTTAAAGTCATATAACGAAAATGACTGCTTTCTTGTCTTTTTATTTGATTTTTTGGAGAGAAAAACCACATCAAATTTCCCAATTCGAACGAGAATCTGCAGTAAAGAATTGGTGGACATCCGATCAAAAATAACTCGTAAAATCTTGCACTTACCATTGAAGAAATCCCAATCAAAATACTCTACAACTAGGGTTCCTTTGACGGGTTCCTTTTTCCGAAACTTTTGCTTTTATTATTGCGGAGAATATCATTTGCAATCCTCTTCAATCTTCATGTCTGCGCTTTCATAACATATGGGTACTTGATTGTTCCAATCTTTTTGGGATTTTAGTACTTAAATCTTCTGTTTTGTATCTTCTAATTGATTGATTGATTGATACAGTATCAGGCAGATAGAGGAATCTTGATCGATAATTGGTGGAGATGACGAGTAGTCAGGCAGGTTCTTCACGAAGGAGTATGGTTTTAACAGCTTCATCAAGGAAGAAAGCTTCTGAAAATGGAGCCACTGATCCTAGCCGAAGATCTATTACTTCTTCTCGTTCCATGTACGTTTTTATATACTTATACCCATATGCGATTAGAATTCTCCAATGGTTAAACTACATATGAATTACCGTCTTCTATCTACTAGCATCCTGACAAAGTTATATATATGTATATATATTCATTAGGATCAAATCCCACTTCCATCTTGTCTTCTTTGATGAGAAACTTGTCAGCTTAAGTTGGACTAATATGCAATGAATTTTTAACAATAAAGATAAACTAAACCAAACCATTATCTGATTATGTTGACCATTCTTCAATGTTAACTTTGGTGCCAATTGAAAGAGTATGTGATGTGCTTTTGAAACAATCTTCAGAAGCTTTTGGGGCTCTGTTGGACCAGTTTTGTACTTCCCTTCTATCAAGAAAGATCTTCATGGAAGTAGCACTCTTAGAACCGACAATAGTGTTTTAGGTTGCAATCTGCAGGTCTGAAAGAATCCCTTTTGCAAACTGGTCAATCATGCCAATAATAATTTGTATGCATTAGTTGAAGGGTATGCTTTTCTATGAATTTAAGCAGTGAAAATGGGAGGTGGGTATACGAAGGTGATAATATATTATGTACACAATGTCAGACTATGTTCCAATTATACATACAGCTACAAAAAGCACTACTAATGTGTGAAAGGATATATTTTTAAGGGCTTTGGCTCATACCCAATTTATCAAGCAGAAGAATTACTTCCATCTAGAATCTTTTATGAAAAAAGTGAAATTAAATTTGCAAACTTTCAGCTGTTAAGATAAACCACAAATTGATCTGGAGAACATTAGAATGTGCGGTTCATGTGCTAAATGAACTTACCCATCAACATGTTTTTTAAACAGGGGGCTAACGGGAGAACGCACCGTGAAGCGATTACGTCTCTCGAAAGCCTTGACAGTACCTGATTCCACAACTGTTAATGAGGCCTGTCGTCGGATGGCTCTTCGGAAAGTGGATGCTCTTCTGCTTACAGACTCGAATGCATTACTCTGTGGCATATTGACCGACAAGGTTTACTTTTTTTCTTTATTCTTTTGGTCACGTACACTAAAGCAACTCAAAATGAAATATGTTAGACTATGCCATTTGTTCACTAAACTAGCTTTTGCATAATTGAAGGATATCGCAACAAGAGTTGTTGCTCGGGAGCTTGATCTTGAGAAGACTCCTGTCTCGGCAGTGATGACAAGAAATCCAGTTTTTGTGATTTCGGATACTCTTGCTGTGGAAGCTTTGCAAAAAATGGTGCAAGGTTTGTATTAATCAGGAGAACATGGTGGCCTTTTTCAAAGTATCTTTCGAATCTTGAAAATTAAAATTTCTCTTGCAGGAAAATTCAGACACTTGCCCGTTGTAGAAAATGGAGAGGTTGTTGCTTTGCTTGACATAGCAAAATGTTTATATGATGCAATTGCCCGAATGGAACGAGCAGCTGAAAAGGGGAAAGCCATAGCAGCTGCTGTTGAAGGTGTTGAGAAGCATTGGGGCACCTCCGCTTCTGGTCGGTTCACATTTGTTTTCCTTCTTTAGTTTGCATTATTACATTTCATTAAGGCCATGTTTGGTAACCTAAGCTAGCTTGTTTTTTGAGCTTATTGAAACAGCTCCATTTTGTTAGCCATAAACTAGCTTTTTTAAATGTTACTTCAAGTAACGTTTCAATAAACTTCAATGGTTTTTCCCACTTTTCCCTATTGTGCCTCTTATATTTTTTCAATTTGTTTTTAGGTCATTTTATATTGTCACGTAGCTTATCAGTTAGTTTTTACCAAACATGATTAGTTTATCTGCTAGTTTGCGAAACATGGCCCAAGTGTTGAAATACATATCAGGTTTTGCTTGACTTTGAACGATTCAATCTTCCTGCAGCTGGGCAAGAGTTGTTTTAATTATATGTGATTTACTTGTCATTATACAGGTTCCAATACATTCATTGAAACACTTAGAGAGCGACTCTTCAAGCCTTCTTTATCTACCATAATCTCAGAAAATTCAAAGTAGGTAATAGCTTTGCTTTGATATTATTATATGAGTTCATTTTTACAAGATTTCTTGATATGTCCATTTGTTCACGATGCTACAGAACAATACACGTTACTTATTCTTCAAATTGCTCATCTTCCAGGCTTGTGACCGTTTCACCATCTGACACGGTGCTAATGGCAACAAAAAAGATGCTTGAGTGTCGTATTAGCTCGGCTGTTGCAACAGTTGATAGCAAACCATGTGGGATTTTAACGTTAGTCTCTCAATTGCATATTAGCTACGTAAATAATATATTGAATGAAGCGTTTGATTTTTAGCAAAGTATATCCATAACATGTGATTTATACTTATATTAGCTCAAAGGATATATTGATGCGAGTTATAGCATTGGGTCTTCCTCCTGATTCAACATTGGTGGAGAAGGTAAATCAAAGTTGGTATCTTGTGTACTAGTTATGGTGCTTTATCACAATACTTTACTGAACATTTTCGGTTCATGCTTCATTTAACACATAGGTGATGACTCCAAATCCAGAATGTGCTACCATTGATACACCTATCGTTGAGGCCTTGCATACCATGCATCATGGAAAGTTTTTACATCTTCCTGTTGTTGATAGAGGTAAATGTAAAGATTTATTGATCTTTCTTTTTTAGTTTATTCTTTAATTGGTTAATTTCATTCAATTGTTCCCTTCTGCTTCTTCATAGATTCATGCAAAGATCTTATTCTTAGCACATCCAAACTAGTTTTCGGACAAAAAGCTTGTTGAATTTGTATTATATATATATATATATATACATATATATATATATATCTAAAAGTGGTGGTTTCTGTTGCAGAGGGACTTGTTGTTGCCATTATTGATGTACTTCAAATCACTCATGCGGCTATAGCCTCTGTAAGTGCAATTCTCTTTTTGTCCTACATATGACCATCGGTTATGTTAATAATTCAATCGTAGGTGTTGTAGGGTGCATATCAAACCTATTGTATTAGATTATGGAAATTCTGAACCCTAATCCATATAAAACCAGCTAATTACGAGAATTTACTCATGAGCAGAATATTTTGTATGTGGGTCTTGGTGTATGCTTATAGAATCATTCATGGCTCCACATAAGGAGTTTAATGTTTTTTTTCTGCATTTTTATCTATCTAAAGGCTATGTAATATGACCAAAGGCTCTTCATCCCTTTTATCACATATTCTAATACTTGTAGCTGCCTTATGTACGGGGGGATGTATTGGGCTCGTTTGGTTTCAAAGTTGGTACTTTGGGGATATTTTTGAAGCTGATATAGCATTGTTTTTCCTACGGATGAAATAGGTCGGAAATACTGCAGGAATTGATAATGAGGCTGCAAGCTCAATGATGCAGAAATTTTGGGATTCTGCCATGGCAGTACCTCCTGCAGATGATGATAGCGAAACCAGAAGGTAACAAGCCATGCTGTTATGAGTTTAATTACTGTGGTTCTAACTTATATTATTGGTCGACTTAAATAGAACCAGTGATATTGCAGTGAAGGTTCTTTGAAATTGGCTTCTGAGGGGACTGTTCCTTATCCTTCGCCTACACTAATCAATACATTTGCTTTCAAGATCCAAGATAGAAGGGGTCGGATGCATAGATTTATTTGTGGTATGCTTCTTATTCTCTTTCTAACATCATCCTGATGTAATTTGGTGATTGAAGAGTTTATGGTTTATAAATGTTGATTTACTTGGTGTTTTTTTTCTTGTCCTTGAGGTCAGAAACTCATAGTTTGGCAGATCTAATAACTGCAATACTTCAAAGAGTAGGCGGTGAGATTGATCGCAACAACCTCCCACAGATTCTGGTATGTATTTCTCACAAACTTGATGAAGATTTTCAGCGTTTGTCGCTGTGATTATTATGCTTATTTTTCTTGTATCTTGTAGTACGAAGATGTAGACAAGGATATGGTGATTCTTGCATCAGATAGCGATCTTGCTGCAGCCGTGGAACACGCAAGATCGGTTGGTTGGAAGGTGTGTATGCTCTACCTTCTTATTAAAGAAATTAGAAACAGCTGGTATCTTTTTTCAGATTCTGAGATGTTGATGTGAAAACGAACAGGGATTAAAATTGCATCTAGATTACTCTGGGATGCCCAGAAATCGAAAAGGCTCATTGGCGGCAGCGGCGGTGGCAGGAGGAGGCGGCGGCGGTGGTGGTTTGGAGCATGTTCACGCAGATGCATGGGCTTCTGCATACAGTTCTGTTGCAGCTGGAGCTGCTTTAGTTGCTGGTTTAGGTGTATTAGCCTTCTTGAGAAGAGGTGGCTAATTATTGTTTGTTTCGTTTTTTCCCCAGAAAATCTTTCGAGGATTACGAATGTCGTTACGAACCTTTTGATACGTAGACTACGAAGATTGATAATGTTGAAAATTTGGTCGGTCAGTGAAAACAAGAAAAAAATTCTTACTTTGAGTGTTTGATATACACTTGTATTGTATTGTAACGATAATTTTCTTGAAAATTTTAAAACTATTTAAAACCGTGTTGTATGAATTTGGAGAAAAATGAATTATTAATATCCAACCCGTTATACCAGCCGACTAATCCCAAAATTCGACTCTTCTCGTCATCGTGATTTGTGTCTCCTCATATGTTATCATTTATAATAATATATTAAATCGTAAATTCAAGATTTGATGGTTAATTTTAGCAGAATATAGAATTTTTAACCATAAATTATTGTTTTATATCTATAATTGATTTTTATTTTACGATATTTATTTTGTCGTGTCACTTAAAAAAAAGTTATGAATTCGCGTCTAAGGGACCGGTCAAGACCAGTGGCTCGGACCTTGGGGCTATGGGTGTGGCATTTGGACAAGGTGGGGTCCAATGTTTTGTGTCGGTGAGGAACCACTTTCACCTCATTTTAAGCAAAAATACCATGTGATCATGTTTTTGCATTAATTCTACGACTCAAAAAAATTTAAGCACAATTTGTACATATTTATTGTAATATTATATATTTTTAGAGATTATTATAATAATGTAAGATCTGTATGTTAACAGTTTAATGAGTTTAGTGAGACACACAACTTATTTGGTTCATTATACGTGCTTTTGGTAATGGCTTAATGGTATATAAATTGACTTATCTAGTAAATTTGTAGAGGAAAGTTTTATGCAGAAAGTCAATTTTTTTCAAAGAGAAACTTTCTCAATCTATATAAACAGATTAATCCATACAAACAACTTTATTCATACAAAACTTAGTGAAAAACCAACCAAACAATCCTGTGATCTTATATGATCGAGATTATAAAAAATATAAACCGAAAACATTTATTTTTATTTTTATGTTTATATCAAATATATAAATTAAAAGAAAAAGTCATGGAAATGGAATTTTGGTAAATTCTTTGTTCCCCACCTCCAATCCAAACTCCAAAGTATTTTATATTACCAAACGTTTAAAACCCCTTTTTGACTTAGAATCTCACCAACCCATTCAATTCCATAAATTAATTGCAAATATTTTAAGCATTTATACAATTAATAGTAGCTTCTAAACTATTAACAATTTTAAGAAAAACTTTATCAGTAATAAATAAATTGACGTTTTTGATATGTAAAATGACCAAATGTGCCGTTAAACATTCATGATTTTGTACGAACCGTGAATTTCATATGAGGGTGTACGTGTGAGACATGTGACGATCATGATATACGGGATTTGTTTTTGAAAATGATGGAAGATAATGACATTTCATATTTCCATACAACCTAACGGGATTTGCTTTTAGTCAACACTCTTTCATTTGGCGTTATACGACATAAATTTTAGACGCGTGAACCATAATTATAGCATAACTGCTTCATGCATAGAATTTATATAACAAATGCTGCTTTTATCTTCATTCTATCATTAAAGTTTATGATTGTCGGTAAGTACTATTACAAACAATGAACCATAAAACATGTAGATAACAGGCGTGAACAAAATATACAAGACTCAAAATGTCAGATATACGAATCATGGAATACAGAAAACGCGTATTTCCGGATTTCAAGCCAATGCTTCTGTTGTGAGGGCAAAAATTTCAAAGTTGTACGTAGGTGTCATGTGTCACCTTGTTGTCTGCAAAATGCTTTGTTAAAGTTGGGAGGGATTTACAAATCATTTGTTTATTTGTCCATATCTTCATCATCACATGCATACACCATACATGCATCCATTTATCTCTATATGCACTTGTGATCATCTTTTGGCCCCATTTCATGTCTTTTATTGCTTTAATAAAGTTATAATATTATAAACATAATTCACACAATCCAAAGGCAATCTATTTATATATGGAGAGAGAATAAGACATACAGATCAAACGAGAACGCAGTCAATTTATGAGAATACAAGACGTTTCAAGATCATATATGATATAAAACACGTAATAACATGTGATACAAACATGTTGTATTGACATCTGATATAAATTGACTGCATATATATAAATATATAATTGACTACCATTTTGCCTTCTCTCTCTATATACATATATATATATGTGTGTGTGTGTATGTATTATATATATATATATATGTATGTATATGTATGTATATTTGTACTTTTATATAATATAAAGTATTAATACATGCATAGCATTTAGTATTAGCGTTATTTAAAGCACTCCCTCCACCAAAAAATAAAGTTTCAGTTTTTGGTTCAGTTTCATGTCACTTATTGCCTCCGCTTCTTTAGTTGTCATCTTGAGATGCTGAAAAAGCTTCCATCTTTACCAAAAAACCCAACCATGGAAACAACCAGAAGATCACTTTCCTCCATTTTCTTGCTGTTTCTCACTGTTTCTTGTGTTCTTGATCCGACCCGTTTTGCAGATGCATCGGGTCAACAACCCATCAAGAGGATAGTGGTGTTGGTTCTGGAGAACAGATCTTTTGATCACATGATTGGGTGGATGAAGAAATCCATCAATCCGTCAATCAATGGTGTTACAGGTAAAGAATGCAACCCATTTTCAACCAACTTGACCCGAACACCAAACCAAGTAACACAAGATGAGTCTATCTGCTTCACTGATGATGCGAAGTATGTGGATCCGGATCCGGGTCACTCGTTTGAAGATGTGGAGAAGCAGGTATTTGGGTCTAACCCAATTCCTTCCATGACTGGTTTCGTCGAACAAGCACTCTCAGTGTCACCCAATCTTTCTGAAACAGTCATGAAAGGATTCAAACCTGAAAATGTCCCAATTTTTGCCAAATTGGTCCAAGAATTTGCAGTTTTTGACAGATGGTTCTCTTCAATTCCGGGTCCAACCCAACCCAACCGACTCTTTGTCTACTCAGCCACTTCCCATGGATCAACAAGCCATGTAAAGAAGCAATTAGCAAAAGGGTATCCACAAAAAACCATTTTTGATTCGCTTCATGAGAACAAGAAAGATTGGGGAGTGTATTTTCAGAACATACCCACAACTTTGTTTTACAGAAATATGAGGAAATTGAAGTATGTATTCAAGTTTCATCAATATGGTACCTTCAAACAACATGCTAAAGATGGTAAATTGCCAAATTTGAGTGTAATTGAGCCGAGATATTTCGATATAAAGGGTTTCCCGGCGAACGATGATCACCCATCGCATGATGTCGCAAATGGGCAGAATTTAGTGAAGGAAGTTTACGAGACATTAAGAGCAAGTCCACAATGGAATGAGAGCCTTTTGGTGATCACATATGATGAGCATGGTGGGTTCTTTGATCATGTCAAGACTCCTTACAAAGATGTACCGAGCCCAGATGGGAACACTGGTCCAGCACCTTCGTTCTTTAAGTTCGATAGGTTGGGTGTTAGGGTTCCCACCATAATGGTGTCTCCTTGGATCAAGAAAGGAACCGGTAAGATTCATATATGAAGATTCAAAAGATTCAAGATTTCTTGATTTAAGTAGTGTTTCTCGTGTGGTTATGCAGTGATTACTAGCCCAAAGGGACCAACACCCAGTTCCGAATACGAGCATTCTTCCATTCCTGCTACCATAAAGAAGATGTTCAACTTGTCATCGAACTATTTAACTCATAGAGACGCTTGGGCTGGAACCTTCGAGCAAGTCGTTGGACAACTGAGCTCTCCACGAACCGATTGCCCTGGTAAGTTAACTAAACATCCAAAATAACACAGCCAATTGAACTTCTTGGCTAGTTTTTACCAAAAGACAAGCTTATCAGCTAACAGTAGTTTATTGGCCAACAACTACCTTAATCAGCTAGTTTGCCAAATATTGGCATCTGATTTTGAATATGTGTCATAGACTCGTATGAAGTAATTTTAATGAGCTTTTGATCGGTTGCAGAGGTTCTGCCTGAAGCTGCGCCATTGAGAGAGACAGAGCCAGATGAAGCGAGGGGACTGTCTCAATTTCAGAGCGAAGTGGTTCAATTAGCCGCGGTTCTTAATGGTGACCATTTCTTGAGTAGTTTCCCAGACGAGATGGGGAAGAAAATGAGCGTGAAAGAAGCCCACACGTATGTCAAAGGTGCAGTTTCACGTTTTATAACGGCTAGCAAAGAAGCTATCAACTTGGGTGCGGATGAATCTGCGATTGTCGACATGAGATCCTCTCTCACCACCAGAACCGTGATTCACAACTAACGATTCGCACCCATCAAAATTTCTAGAATATATCTACGTTTTTTTTTCCTGGTTGTAAACTAAAAAAGTTGGAACCAGATGTGTTGTCTCAATGTTGTGTGAGGTATCAAGTTAAAACTTTGTACCCTTTCACAATTTGGTTACAACTTTTGTATCATTACACGAATCTAGACTCGAATACCAACAATAAGAAGGCAAAGTTTATACAACGATCGAATTGAGTGAACTATATAACTGTAACTATCTATTAGAGTTCATCCATGTCATGAAAAGGAATTTTAGCTTAAGCAAACTTGTCGTTAGCTTCTAAGACCATCTGGTAAAATGTCATCAGCTTTAGCAATTTACTGTCAAATTACCGCTGCAATTATACTGTGCTGATAGGCTTCATATAGAAACGGGACTTTGCCATGTTGAGACGTCTGTAATGAGCTCTCGAAGCTGATCTATGAGAAGCTTTAGATGCTTGTTTTTATTTTCAAGATCCTACAATGTATACAACCCATGTGTTAGAAACAATTGCAGCATAAGATTGGAACTTATGAAGAATGTGAGATACCTTTCTTAAGGTGGAAGCCCGCTCTTCCAGCTTCTCCGCATCCAATTCATCGGTTGAGATTGGATCAATATCATAAGCCTTGGCCTTCATTAAGTGGAAACACATGTGAAGTTAATCACCAAAGACAAAAGAAAAGGTGGACGGGCTCAGCCGCTAGGAACAGCCTGCTAATCTATTGGGAATGTGGAACAAAACGATTATCTCATTAGAGAAGCATGAATGAATAGGCTTTAATGTCGACAGGTGCCTAAGAGAAGCAGTTAAACCATAGTCTTTGTGCTTTTAGTCTTAACTTCCCAGTGAGATTATAGGTTTAAATCTGTAGTTCAACATATAAAAATAACATCCTATGTTTCAGCTTAACATGACCCCATTTTGAGAGTATGGCATGCAGATGCTCACCTTAGTATCGGAAGATTTTTTGCATCAAAAGGAAACTAAAGCAGTTTGCATCATCCCTACCGTTTCTCCCAGACCATGAAATCGAACCAATCAGTCCTTTCCCCAAACACTGACTCCTAAAAACGGTCGTGAAAGAACCCTGCTCTTGGAAGTGCTACCAATGTATAGACATTCTATGGGCATGGAAGACGGGTATTAAAGTTTTCGGCTTTGTAGGGACTAATACAATGCCTATAATCATTAACACCTGATTTGGTTTCCTTGGACCAGTCTCTGTCATCAAGTTAGCAAACAGGAGAAGCTTAACCAATTTTAGAGAGTATGCATAATGCATATAAAGGGGATGAAAGAAACAGACAAGTTTGTTCCCAGTTTCTCTATATTTAAATCAAGGGGTTGTGATATCTGTGTCTAATATGCACCTATGCTTCAACCTAAGCACAATCAACAACATTATTGCACTAATCAGCGGCTTCTAAATCCTTCTATCATCACTGGCGTCGGATCATACAAAACACTTGTTCATTTTCTGATTGAAAAACATGGTGAAACATCACAATTCATATACATCCATAGAGTTTGCTTTGCAACCATTAAACATTGCAAAAAAAACATATGCACTCCCAGTTACTAGTGGAACTGGGTCTTAAAAGGCTTGTAAACAGTTCGATGATCACATGAAATAGATAAAGACACAAAAAAAGTTGAAATTTTATTGAAATGGAAGACTATACCTTTCTAGAATTGGGAATAGCAGTGAGAACGGAACGGAGGGCGGCGACAGACGATTTGTAGCGGAGACGAGCTTCATCGAGAGCTCCACCGCCCATCTCAAAGTGATGGGCGGTATCGGACGACGTAGCATCGCCGTTGGATGGGGCGTGATGGGCGTTGCTAGTATTAACATTGGGAGGAGAAGAAGTGGACCATAAATGAGGGTTACAGAGTTCATCATTCATTGAAGATAAAATCTGAAACGCTGATTCTATCGTATCTTCCAAATGTTTTTGCCCCTCCATCGCCAACTCTTGTGTCGATTTCTGATTCGTGATCGTTGAGCTGCTCGTCTCTTCCATTGATGTAGACGAACTCCAAATTGTGGAGCAAAACTCAATTTGCAAACCCTAGAGAGATGATCAGATTGCCCAAAAAAAACCCTAATAACCCAACAAAATACAAAAGGGGAATTTGATTGAGAGAAGCAAAAAGATCGTCGACAGCAGGGTTCGAACCTGCGCGGGCGAAGCCCAACAGATTTCAAGTCTGTCTCCTTAACCACTCGGACATATCGACATCTTGTTTTTCTTTTCGTATAATCTTCTTTTATCTCTAGTCTTAGAGGCTGTTTACCTCACAAGATAAATATAGTAAAGAACAAGAATCTTACCCGGTAAAAGCGAGACAAAGATCAAGAGTCTTACCCGGTAAGTGAGGACGACGACTTTTACCACGTTAAATGCTTACCGGGTAAATTGTTGTATACTATGTCGTTTTGGTGGACTAAAATCTTACCCGGTAAGTACATAATAATGTTAAATTTTACCAGTAAGTACTTATCAGGTAAGTGCTTGATAAACGACCCCTAATTGTATTAATTAGGTGGTGTTTGGTTTAAAGAATGAAATGTATTGGAATGAAATTTAATTATATTAACCATGCCTTTGGTTTGCAGGAATATAAATGAAATCTATCAAAAGAGTTGGAATCTGTTTGTTTGATTTCTGAAATATAACCTTAGATTATAATTAAAATAGTGATAATTTACTAAAACACCCTTTTAAGGTGTTTTCGTATTTTATTGTTTGATTTATAAATGCTATATAATAATAAATTTGATGATAATATGGATTGGTGATGATGGTGGCAATAGTGGCAAAGACGGCGGTGGTGGGAAATTCTGGTGAGAGTGGTGTCAGTGGCAGTGTTGGCGAAGATAATGGAGATGAAAATGGTGACAACAACGATGGTGGTGGTAACGGCACTGATGGTAACAAGGGTGGCAGTGGCGATAGAGGTGGTGGTGACAATGATGGTGGAGGTGACGGTAGTGGTGGTGGTGGCGATGGTGTGGTGACGGCTATCGGCTGTCATGGTGGGATGGAATAGATTAAAGTGTCTATAAGGGTATGATGGTTTGTTGTCAAAAGATTTGATGAAATGGAAATGGAATTTTTTATTAAAAGCCAAAAAAATAGAGATTCCATCATATGTGAAACTAAAATTTCGTAATATAACTCATAAAATGAATCTAAGACATGAATAAAATTCGGTCTGTATAATTTATAGTTCCAATTCCACCAGATTCCGACGAACCACTTATGAACTTAATCTCTTAGGGGCAGTTTGGTTCGCGGAATTCGAAGAAATTTGATGAAATTGAAATAACAAATTTCTTTGACCAAATTTCAATACCTTTGTTTGGTTCATTTCTTGAAATCGATGGAATCCTTCAAATTCCATTGAATTCCACAAATTAATGAACTCGTCATTTATTGACATAATAGAAAGAATTGAATTCCATCACCACCCACCACGACCATGTTACTATTTTTTTTGGTGAAGCAAGTTTTGTGTTACTTTTTTTTTTACTTCTTTCTAGTTATTTTATACCATTTTGTATGTGTACAATTTCATAGTTATGATGTTTGGCCCAATATATCAATGACCGAAGCCCATTTATCAAACTCCAGTTGTCTAAAATACGGATTTAGAACATCTTCAACAGTTATGCTATATTTTCTTTTTCAAATATAATTTTCCACTATCTCTCATTTTTTTCTCAGTTTTAGAGAATAATTTAATATAACTGTTCGAACAAAATTTTCTAATATCTCAAAATTTTCTAAAATATGAGAGTTGTTGAAGATGCTCTAACATACTTGATCACTAAAAATTATTGAGGTGTGTGTATAATTTGTAATTTCCAAGTCAAAACGTTGGATACCGACATTAATTAAACTATGACTAAATTTCCGATGTATGTAAAAAATTTCCTTCATTTTGTAAGGATTATTTAAAAAGGTAATCTGAATACGTAATAAAATTTCATAAATTCTCACATAAACGAAGAAAGAGTCCATGTGCAAACATTTGCAATCCCCTCAATCGAAAGACAAAAGTGACTTTTCATATCATGTGGACAATCAATTTATTGACAAAAAAACTCTGAAATAATTAAGTGTCCTATGCAACTTAGGTGATTATTTAAGGGACTGTTTGGTAGTTGTTGAATGGTTTGATACAGAATGATTGAGTGGTCAGAATGATTAAGAGGCTCTCATGATCTAATGCAAAATAAATATAATTGTTTGATGATTGTTTACAATGAAATTAGGGTGCTGAATGGTTAAGGGAGGTCTATGATACAAAATCATTCAAGAGGGTTTTAGAACCATTAAAAGACAAACTTTTTTTTTTTGTCAAATAAAATTCACCTTTTAACGATTTAGATATTGTCTCTTAATGAAACTATTAAAATGTAAACAAACAACCGTTAGATGTACACATTCAGCTCTCTGGAAAACTGAAGGAGCTTCATGTTTATCTCAATGTAAAAAGAATCAATCCATGTGCATGTAGAGACATTAGTACGCATCAATAACTAGTTATGAAACTGATAGCAACTTGGTCATCGACATTGGTCCATTAGAGTGGAAGGACACACAATTAAGTAACAAAAAGACGTTGGGAAAGTTACAGAAATAAAATTTTATTTTTAAAAAAAATTTAATGACGGATTTATGGGGGATTTGTGTCGGACGTCGACAAAAGTTAACTTTTCTTGACTATACAGAGTTTTGAAGTCTGAAAAGTTTTACTTCAGAGTTATTTTAAGAGTACAAGTCCAAGTCTGAAGTCATTCTTCAGAGTTATACTTCAGAGTTATTTCAAGAGTACAAGTCTGAATAGTCGTTCTAAATTTACTTCTAAGTTTAAATTCAATTTACTGATATAGTTTCATTTCTAAATTTAATTTTATTTTAGGGTTAACTTCATTTTAACTAATCATTGATGTAGATTCATTTCTAAATTCAATTATTCAGAGTTATTCTTCAGAGTTATTTCAAGAGTACAAGTTTGAAGTAGCATCGTACTTTCGATGATCATTCATATATGTAAGATAAGTTTCTGACATGATTTAATTTTTTCAAATTACCCCATATAATACACGGGATCGAACCTTATATATATATATATATATATATACACACATATATACACACACACACAACAGAAACACGGTTCAATTTCGATTTTGAAGTTGAGATTTTAAACTTTGAGTACTGTTTTATGCTTCTATGATGCGTCATTCTTAATTGTTTTTAGGAAGCGTTTAATTTGATGGAATAGTTTTAAAGGATTTGGATTTGAAAGGATATGGAATTTTTTGCGTGTTTGGTTTGATGGATTCCGTTCCATTTTCTATATATAATTTATAAAAACAAATTATTGATTATCATAAAAATAACCTGATTACCTTTTTATTAATAAATTATTAGAAAACAAGTGTTTTAAACATATTTTAAAATATTATTATATAGAAATCCTTGTCAAATCTCAATAACCCTGTGAGATTTCAAAATCCTATGTTTGACTGATTTTAAATAAATCTTTAGATTTCAAATTCGAACAATCTTGTAAACCAAACATGAGATTGGAATGGATTTGAAATCCAAATTTATTTCATTCCTACAAAGCAAACGTACACTTATGGTTTTGTATCGTTTGAGTGAAGCGAGAAAATCGTTTTATTTATATGTTTTTGCGAGCATGTTATATGTGATAACCGTTTAATTGGTTGTAAAATTCAGGGTTGTTTTTGAAAAGTGGTGTCGTATCTCAGATATATATATATATATGTGTGTGTGTGTGTGTGTGTGTGTGTGTGTGCACACACACACGCACTTAAGTGTTTTTAAAAGTTCCACCGCCTCATTTGTTTAATTAGTTCTAAGATGAGATATTATTATTATCTCGTGGGTGTTGTTAAAATGTATATATATATATATATATATATATATATAGGGTCGGGTTCACATGAGACCAAGGGTTTTTCGTGAGACCCGTAAGACCAATTTATGTTCATTGATCAACTTTATAATCTAATGATCTAATTTACAAAATTGCAAGGTGACAATTTTGTAAATATTGAGAAGTCTCGTGGCGTTTATGAATGTTCAGATCTGACGATTGTAAATCTAATCCAAGGGTTGAGAATTGGTCTTACGGGTCTCACGAAAAACTATTGGTCTCACATGATCCCAAGTCTATATATATATATGTGTGTGTGTGTGTGTGTGTGTGCGCGCGCGCGCACTTAAGTGTTTTTAAAAGTTCCACCGCCTCATTTGTTTAATTAGTTCTAAGATGAGATATTCTTATTATCTCGTGGGTATTGTTAAAATGTTGGTGAAGAAGTTTTCTTTGTGTGTGCTCTTTCGTACGAAGCAAACTGAAGCCAAAGGGAGATTACAAGAAGAAGTTGATTATGTGATTAAACTAAATTCTTGTTGTTTCAATCTTCATCTCTTTGTGATTTATAAGGTGAGCTTATTTTACAATCTTTCCTTTTATGGTGTTGAAATTATAATCGTATGGTTCTTTACATGGAGATGTTATAAAACTGTTTTGATGTTATAATTGGCATGAATTGGTATTTTGATATGATTATATTAAGTGTTTGGAACAAGGATGACATATCAAAGAGATGTGTATTTTGGTATAAGGGTGACATATCAAGAAGAATTGTATTTTGGGATAAGAGTGACATATCAAAGAAATGTGTATATCAGAATAAAGGTTACATAATCAAACATAATGTAAAATCCGGGTTTTGATCAAAAAGTGTTATTTGGTTGTCACACGCTTGAGATGCGATGACCTGAAGTTGTCGCATCTGTGTGATGCGATGACTTGAGTTTATCGCATCCTTGTGATGCGATAAAGTGTGCTTATCGCATCCTTGTGATGCAAGGAGTGAGATTGTCTAATCCTTGTGATACGACAAGATGAACTTATCGCACCAGTGTGATGCGATGAGATGGGTCCTCGCACTATTGTGTTGCGAGGAATTAGGTTGTCCTCACCTATGTCATGCGAGGAATTTGTTATTTTACCTATATGGGGCGATGAGTTTTATCATCATGTGATAAATGAGTTGTTTGGCTATTTGATGC